GCACAGAGCTCCTGAGAGCACAGAGCTCCTGAGAGCACAGAGATCCTGTGCATCTCCTGATGGGAGAGCACAGAGCTCACCTCTCACCTCCTCAACTGCCCATCCCTTCTGGAGAGCAGGGACCTCCAAAGTCCTCAGCTCACATCGCAGAGAGCAGGGAGAGCCAGAGGTGACAACAGCCAACAGCACAGAAAGCCACATGCTAATTTTGGACCATAAATAAATATATTTCAAGCACTTTGGGGCCATATTGGAGATACCTAGATCCCTATTATGCTCCCTGTGCTCAATTTCATCCAGTGATACAATCACAGAGTGGTTTGGGTTGGAAGGAACCCCAAAGATCATCTCATTGCAACCCTCCCCCATGCTTGGAAGACAGAAGTATGAAAGGGAATGAGAGAATCGGCCAAGCAAAAGGAGGGGAAGCCATTCCCAGTGCCCACCTGGGCACACCCTGGTCCCCGTGCCCTACCTGGGGTGCCTGGCATGCAGGAGAGCCGGCCCAGAGCCTGGGCCTTGCGCAGCAGCACCTTGATGCGCCCGGCCGGGGGCTGCAGCTGCAGCAGCAGCAGGAGCTGCCCCAGGGGCCTGGGGGGCGAGGAGAGCACGCTGCAGCTCAGGCTGGGGGCACTGTGGTGCTGGAACGGCACAGAGAGCAGGGGATGCTGTGAAACCTCTTGTGAACTCACCCAGCCCTCCAGCCTCCAACCTCACACAGCCCTTCCAGCTCCAAACTCACACAGCCCTTCCAGCTCCAACCTCACACAGCCCTTCCAGCTCCAACCTCATCCAGCCCTCCCAGCTCCAACCTCATCCAGCCCTCCCAGCTCCAACCTCATCCAGCCCTTCCAGCTCCAAACTCACACAGCCCTTCCAGCTCCAACCTCATCCAGCCCTTCCACCTCTGACCTCATCATGTCCTTCTACCTCCTACCCCATCCAGCCTTTCCAGCTCTGACCTTGTCATGTCCTTCCAGCTCTGACCTCACCCAGTCCTTCCAGCTCTAACCTTATCCAGCCCTTCCAGCTTCAACTTCAACGTGTCCTTCCAGCTCCAACCTCATCCAGCCCTTCCACCTCTCGCCTCATTGTGTTCTTCCACCTCCGACCCCATCCCGCCCTTCCAGCTTCAACCTCATCGTATCCTTCCAGTTCCAACCTCACCCAGTTCTTCCAGCTCTGACCCCACCATGTCCTTTCACGTCCAAATCCTTCCAGCTCCAGCCTCCTCCAGCCGCTCCAGTTCCAGCCCTTCCATCCCGGCGCTGCTCCTCCCCCAGCAGGGTCGGGGCCGGGCAGGAATGGGGCAGCCGGGTGGGTTTGGTGCCCACCAGCGCTGCAGGGATGCTGCCAGCTCTGTTTGCCCCTTCCACCCCAGCACCCCCTGAGGATGAGGTGCAAAGCCCCCGGTGAGGAAGGCACCGCCCGGGGCTTGCACTGCCATGGACACTCCCCGGAGCTCCCGGTGCTGCCTGGAGGAGGCTCTGCCTCTGCCCCTGCAGCTCCAGGGCTCTGAGATCAGACAAAACTCAGCCCGAGCACTGAAACCGCTGCCGTGCTGACCTTGCTGAGCTTGGTTTTGGTGCTCGCCAGCTCCCAGGAGTAGCTGGAGGGGGCGTGGGGGTCCCAGGAGGCCTCAGCGCAGGGGAACAGGACCTCGCCCACGAAGGACTCCTGGAGGCTCCGTGACCTGGCGTAGACAGCAAAGCGCAGGGTGCAGCTGCCCAGCTCCTCCGGGCCGTACGGGCCGAAGCGGCAGCGCCGCGGCTGCCGGCGGAGGCTCCTGCGGCGCACGGACCCGCGGCGGGACGGCGGCACCAGGGACACCTTGACGCGGGAGCCCTGCTGGCCCCGGGGCAGCTGCGACACGCCGAGGATGGTGACGGTGAGGGTGGCCTCGGGCAGGGAGTAGCGCAGCTCGCAGTGGAGCCGGGGACGCTGCCCGGAGCGCGGTGGGGCGGCGGGGACCAGCGGGCTCCGCTCGCTGCAGAGGAGTTTGGTGCCGGCCACGGTGCAGCGGCGCTGCCACAGCCCCGCCAGCTGCGGGAGGAAGGGGAGGCTGGGCAGGGACGCTCTGCCGTGGGGAGAGCCCCCTCGGGCTGCCGGCGGTGCCGGGGAAATCTCCTTGGCCCGGGTCCCCGGCGCCTCTCCCGTCAGCGCCTCGCCCCGCTGCTGGATGGGCACCGGCACCGTGGCCGCGGGCAGAGCCGCCCCCAGCTCCACTCGCTGCAGGCCCAGGGGGCGGCCCAGGCGCCGGCGGTGCCACCAGCACATGGCACAGCCCAGGAGGACGCCGAGGAAGAGGAGGGACAGCCCCGCGTCGAGGGAGAGCTGCAGGTGCGCTGGAGAGAGAGAGAGAGAAAGAGAGAGAGAGAGAGAGAGAGAGAGAGAGAAACGGGCACGGTGAGCGGGGCCGAGCCAGCGCGGCTCTCCCCGGGGGCTGCGGCAGCTGGGGCCAGCCCGGTGCCCCCTGCCCGGTGCCCCCTGCCCGGTGCCCCCTGCCCGGGGCTCCCTCCCCGCTCTCTCTCAGCCGGGATTGAGCTGTGACATCCCAAAGGCAGCTGGTGGGACAGGAGCCGCGCTCGGGCAGCCTGACACGGGCCGGGGTGAAACAAAGGCGGCCCCAGCCCGGCCGTGATAAGGGCCCTGGAAGCGGGCGGTTATCAGCGCCGTGCCAGGCTGACCCAGCTCGGGCGCTGGTGGGGGCTCACAGGGGGCACCTGCAGGGATTTGGGGTGTCCGGGCTGGATTCAAAGCGGCAGCGGCCTCTGAGGGATGAGACAAGCCAAGCCCAGTCCCAAAGAGGGGAACCTCCCCCCGGAGAGGTGATGAGCTGGATTTTGTCCGTCCCTGCAGGGATGCCCGCGGCGTTTTGGGGTCCCTGGAAGGAGGGCATCCCTGCACACTGGGCGTTTAGGGAACAGGAAAGCAACTCCTGCACACGAGGGATGGAACTCCTTTGGAATTTAGTTCCTGAATTTCAGAGGGGGCATCTGTACGGCTGTGCTGGCAGAAAACCTCCCTGTGCCCAGAGCTGGCTTCGCTTCCAGCACTGGAGCGAGGGATTAAGGAGAACAGGGCCGGGATGAAGCTGTGCCAGAGCCTGAGCGGGTCCATGAAGGGATGGGGACGTTGGAAGGAGAAAAGCGGGCATTGTCTCACCCCGCGGGGCCGGGCCGCCCGGCCCAGGTGCCTTAATCCGCCCTGGGCTCCCCGCAGCCCTTTGTTGTTTGTTCGGAGCCGGGTGCTGGCCGGGATGAGCTGAATGGCGGCATTTAGGGAGGGATGGAGGGGACGGGGCTGCCTGGAATTTCCCTCCAGGGATTGTATTCCAGCCCAAACAGCGCCTGCCGAGCCCGCGGCCGTCCAGCCCCGGGACGGCGGGTTGGGAGGGCCGGAGCGTGTCCGGCCCGAGCGCACGGACACACGGACACCGGCAGGGCTGGGGTGCCCATGTGCACCGCACCTTCGGGATGCAGGGCTCCAGGATGCCCTGCGGGGCCCAGCTCCACCGGGCAGGGACTGCCGGGCTTGGGCTGAGCACCACGGAGCCGCTTCTCGGCTGAGCCCGGCTTAGCTGAGCTGAGCTGAGCCCGCCGGGGCCGGGGGAGATCCAAACCCCACGGGGATCCCGCCTTACCTGCTCCGGGCATCGGGGGAGTCCTGGAGCCGCGCTGCCAAGGGAAAAGCCGGGGCTGGGAGAGCCGGAGGCAGGAGGGGAGGGGATGGGGGCCCGGGGCTGGGATAGGCTGGGAGCCCAGCCCGGGGAGCTCACCTGCAGCTGGGCAATGAGGGCAGGGCAGCGGTTCTGCTTCCACGGGGTGAGGATGAGGAAGGTCAAGGGCTCCCGGCACCCGGCCAAGGCAAATGCGGGCACGGGGCACGGGCAAGGCTGGCACGGGAGGGACTGGGAAGGGCTCCCTGCCGTGCACAACTGGTTCAATGAGTGGAAAAGCAGCGGCGGGTGCTGTGCAAACAGCGGGGAGGCCTTGGAGGAACTGTTCGTGGGGAGCAGGCGGTGACAGAGAAGGGGTTTGGGAGATGGGTAAGGGACAGGTGGGGATGCCACGGGACAGAGAAACAGCGAGCGTTTCTCACAGAGGCTTGGGAGACCTTTCAGGGAGTTGTAAGGATGTGATAACTCGTTAAGTACAAACAATCTGCAGGTGGTGTTTTCTACTTCTCCTTCTGTTATTCTCAAGGACGGTGTGTGAGGAAGGTGTTTTTGTTAAGTAACCGATCAAATAGAATCGATCGTATCACTCCATAAAAACCACGCGGTTCTCTTGAATAAAACTTTCTTTTGCTCCTTCTACAACACCGCCTCCCGCCCGTTCCTGTGTCATTCTCGGCGCAAGAGTGACAGGACAGGGCGGCGACAGCTCCGGCGACACCTGGGACAGGAGATCCCGTGCGGCTCCCGTCAGAATCCAGCCTGGAAGCGCCAGCGTTCCAGCCCGGGCCAGCTCCAAACTGGGAGCTCAGGGCCCCTGCAAGGACACAGCCCAGTTCTCTGGGAATAACTGGGAATTCTTTACCCTCAAAAACCCTGCAAGGACATAGCCCAGTTCTCTGGGAATAGCTGGGAATTCTTTACCCTCAAAGACCCTGCAAGGACATAGCCCAGTTCTCTGGGAATAGCTGGGAATTCTTTACCCTCAGAGACCCTGCAAGGACACAGCCCAGCTTCTGGGAATAGCCGGGAATTCTGTGCCCTCAGAGCCCCTGCAAGGACACAGCCCAACCTGTGGGAATAACTGGGAATATTTTACCCTCAGTGCCCTCAGGACACAGCCCAGTTCTCTGGGAATTCTTTACCCTCAAAGACCCTGCAAGGACACAGCCCAGCCTCTGGGAATAGCTGGGAATTCTTTACCCTCAGGACACAGCCCAGCCTCTGGGAATAGCTGGGAATTCTTTACCCTCAGGACACAGCCCAGCCTCTGGGACTTCTTTACCCTCAGGGAGCCAGCCGGGGCACAAAGCAGGCATGGGGGTCACGGTGTGAAGAGGTAGAAGTTTATTGGAATATAAACATTCAGATAACCTGTAAGATAGAAAAAACCCAACAACAACATATACAGACACTTGTTGGAAGGAGACGTTGAGGTATTTATCCACCGCCTAGGCTATCACATTTGTTTTTATTTACTTATTTTATTATTTTTTTTTCTCTTTTAAATAGGTAAGAAAACTAGTTAGCAAGGCTGCTGCAGCTGTTTGGAGAGAACATCTGACCGCAGTCCCCTGGCAAGGGGCAGGCACAGCAGCCTCCCCTCGGCCCGCCCACCCTCCCGCCTTGCCCGCAGCCCCGGGGCAGGCTCGGCTCGCTCTGCCCCGCTGGAAGCGCCGGGGGAGCGAGCTGGGGGCTGCCCGGGGCTGTTGGGCTGGTGTGAGGAGCTGGGGGAGGATGGAGCACTGCCCATCATCCATCGGGAACGTCCTGCCGGCAGCATCAAACCCTGAGTACGACACGGGGCCGCCCCGCTCGGCCTCCCCCCCGCTCTGCTGCTGGTTTCCAGCACCCCCTGCACCCAAAGCCTGGCAGCTCAGCAGGAGACCCGCAGCTCAGGCTGCCAGGGCCAAAGCCAGGCTGAGGGAAAGGGTTAAACTCTTCACAGTCTGGATGGTCCTTGTCACCCCGGGCTGGGAAAAGGACCGGTTTATTGTTGCAGCTTATTTAACTGAGGTATCTGTTACGCTTCCCGACCTGATTCTTTCCCTGAATTGGATACAAAACAATCTGTTAGTCCCTGGCTAGTTCCAGTCTAGGTTGAGTAAAGCTTATAAACATTAATACTCTAGTAGTGTCCAAGCAGTTCAGTGATTCGAGTGCCTTTCTGTGCAAGAAAACACAACGTTAGCAAGTGAGACAAAGCAGCCCCACCCCGGAGCAGCCTCTGCTCCCCCGGGGCCAGGGAGCAGAGCAGAGGGAAAAGCAGAAAGTGCCCCAGTCCCACTCAGAGGAAACAGCCCAACCCCACCCAAGAATAAAATAAAACAACCAAAAGAAAACCCAGAAAAAAGGGGAAAAAAATCATCTGAGTCCCAGAGGCTGGAAAATCCTCTGGGAGTCTGTGAGGATGAAAGGAGCCTGCGGGTCAGGCCGGCTTCCCCTGCTCCCTCTGAGAGCAGCTGGGGACACCCGGAGCAGCATCCCTTACCCTCCCTCCCTGCAGGGCATCCCCACCTCCTGATCCCAGAGAGCCCTGGGGGCTGCGGGGGCAGGACAGCCCCAGCACAGTGCAGGAAGCAGCAGGAGGGCAGAGCCCGGGGCTGGCACAGCGAGGACAATGCACAGATCCAAGGGGCAGGGTCACCCTGCTCTGCTGTCCTGCCGTGCACTGTCCTGGGATGGGCTCCTGGAGGGTGGGGAAGCCACTGCTGCTCTGCTCAGCCTTGTCTGAACTCCCTGTCTTTGGTGATCCGTTTAAAAGCCAACAGAAATAAAAGCAAACACAAATTCAGCAAACCCACCTATGAAAACCCCCAAAGCGATAGGATATGCCAATACTTCCTGAAGAGGTTAAAAAAAACCCAACCCAACACAAACAAAAGCAACCCAACAAGTACATAGCTGAGGTATTTCATCTGCTCAAAAAACCTGACCCGGGCCTGCAGCACGGGGAGGACATCACCAGGGCAGGAGGGATGGCAGGGATGGCACCAGGGCAGGGCATGGGGACAGGCCACAGGGGCAGGGGGACAGCACCAGGCCACCTGATTCACAGGGAGCTCTGATTCACAGGGAGCTCTGCTTCCAGCCAGGGCCAGAAGGGCTGGATTCCCTGGGCTCTGCCCCTCCCTGCCCTGCTCAGGTACCATGGCAGGGGGTTTGGGCAGAGCCCCACATGCCCACATTACCCACCCCACCTGCAGCCCTGTGCCCAGCACGCGGCCCTGCAGAGCTCCAAGAGCTGCTCCAGGGAGCCTGCACCAACCTGAGGGACCCTGCTATGGGGACACAGGGCAGGACATGGAACCCCAGCATGCCCAGGCCCTGAATGTCACTCCTCAGGGACCTTCAGGGACACTCAGGACTCGAGGGGTGAGGTGGCAGCAGCTGAACCGAGCAGCTGATAGTGCCAGAACCGTGGAGAGGACAGGAGGGAGGCTCAGGAGCCTCCCCTGAGGACATGGGGACACAGCAGGAAGGGACATGAGCAGATTGCCATGGGAACACAGGGCCAGGCACGCCCTGGCTCTCAGGATTGTCAAAACACGGAGTTGTGGGTGGGAAGAGCCCTGGTGGCCCCTGGTTCCAGCAGAACCAGGGTTCCTGGAGAACAAGGGCTCCAGCAGGACCAGGGCTCCAGCAGGACCAGGGCTCCCTGCGGAACTAGGATTCCAGGAGAACCAGGGCTCCAGCAGAACCAGGGCTCCTGGAGAATCAGGGCTCCAGCAGAACCAGGGCTCCTGGAGAATCAGGGCTCCAGCAGAACCAGAGTTCCCAGCAGAACCAGGGTTCCCAGCAGAACCAGGGTTCCCCGCCCCAGTCCTGGCCCTTTCCCTGCCCTGGTGACATCCTGGCCAGGAGCTGTGGCCCCAGAGCCATCCCTGATTGAGAAACGCCAGGTGTGCCCCCCCTCCATGGGCACACCACACACCCTGCGAGGAGGAGGAGGAGGAGGAACCAAAGAGCAAAAGGGAGGAAGGAAAGGGGGGGGGAACAAAGCCAAAAAAAGGCTGGACAAAGACGATGAAGGAAAACTCGCTGGCATGGAAAGGTTTCACCACCACCACCACCATCATCATCCTCCAGGTGCTGTGCAGCCACGAGAGCAGGTTCTTTGAGGTGAGGTATGTGTGCACTCCTGGGCAGTGCCCGTCACAGGGACCAGCTGGTGGAGGGCTCTGCGCCGGGCGTGCCCCGCGATGAGGTAGGGCTGGGGGAGCAGTGGGAGCTGCTGGAGCTGCTGCTGGAGCTGCTGGAGCTGCTGCTGCACGAGCTCTGCGTGCCCGAGCCGGCCAGGAGCTGCACCACGGGCTTCTGGGCAAACAGCACCCCTGTGGGCACAGACAGGGTCAGGCTGGGCAAAGGGGAGGCTTTCCCAGCCCCAGGATCCCATCCCATCCCATCCCATCCCATCCCATCCCATCCCAGAGAGGGTCAGGTTTTCCCAGCCCCTGGATCAGATCCCATCCCAGCACAGAGAGGGTTAGGCTGGCAAAGGGGAGGCTTTCCTAACCCCAGGATCCCATCCCAGCACAGAGAGGGTAAGGATGGGCAAAGGGGAGGCTTTCCCAGCCCCAGGATCCCATCCCATCCCATCCCATCCCATCCCATCCCATCCCATCCCATCCCATCCCATCAAGGGTTAGGCTGGGCAAAGGGGAGGCTTTCCCAGTGCCCCCCAAGGAGAACTGTCTGGTTCCCAGTAGGGTTGTCCCATTCCCAAGAGGGCTGTCCCCGGGCTGTCCTGTTCCCAAGAGGGCTGTCCCATTCCAGGAGGGCCATCCCTGGGCTGTCCCATTCCCAGGAGGGCTGTCCCATTCCCAAAAGGGCTGTCCCATTCCCAAAAGGGCTGTCCCTGGGCTGTCCCATTCCCAGGAGACGCTGTCCCTGAGCTGTCCCATTCCCAGGAGGGCGGTCCCATTCCCAAGAGGGCCATCCCTGGGCTGTCCCATTCCCAAGAGGGCTGTCTCTGGGCTGTCCCATTCCCAAGAGGGCCGTCCCTGGGCTGTCCCATTCCCAGGAGAGCGGTCCCTGGGCTGTCCCATTCCCAGGAGGGCGGTCCCATTCCCAGGAGGGCCATCCCTGGGCTGTCCCATTCCCAAGAGGGCGGTCCCTGGGCTGTCCCATTCCCAGGAGGGCCGTCCCCGGGCTGTCCCATTCCCGGAGGGCTCTCACCAGCGTAGGTGGTGCCGTTGATCTCCACGGACATGTTGATGCTGCCGATGCCGTTCGGGGAGAGGTTCAGCGCCGCCGCTGCTGAGTCTGCCTTGTCTTGTCCCAGGGAAGGAGGGAGGGGGGCACAGTTAGTGGGCACCCATCCCACTCCCCGCACCCCCCGAGGTGAGCACAGCCCCCCTTTGTCCCCTCTTGGGGCAGGAAGTGCCCACAGAACGCCCACATTCCTGGGAGTGGGGCTTGGAGCACCCTGGGACACAGCAGTGTCCCTGTCCTTGGCTTTGAGGTCCCTTCCAACTCAAACTATTCCAGGACCAGGCTGCAGAGGAGCTGAAAGGCTTTGGTGAGGCTGGGAGCCCGCTGGAATTGGGAAATGTTTCCCCGAGGGCCATTCCTGTCGCAAGGAAGGGCTGGGAGCACAGAGATGAGCCCGGATTTAACTCCCAGCTGGATTTTGCTGCGGCTCGCTGTGCTCGCACTGCAGCGGCTCCAGCGGCCACTGGGGGGAGGTTAAAGGCAGGGAAACTCCATGAAAATCAGGATTTTCCCCAGCCTGGGCACGGATGGGCAGCTGAACATGGAACTCGTCCAGCTCCACAAGGGTGAGCCTGGATTTTGGGATTGCCCCTCCAAGGAGAGCAGCAAGACAAAAAAAACCACCTCTAAAAACTCCACATTGAACCTAAATGTTGTTACCAAGCCATGCTGAGCTTATCAAAACCAGCTCTCAGAGCATCTCCACCTGGTTTTCATGGTGCAGTGGGGAAAAGGAGGGCGGGGAAGACAAGACAGCCCCTGCAAAGGTGGGGATCCCATCCCTGAATCCTCAGCCTGTTCCTGTTTGTGGGGGACAGCAATGGTTCCCAGCGTTTGGATTTAGTTCAGGGTGAAAGCAGAAGTGAGGTGAGGGAATGAACACTCCTGGATAAAATTTGCATTCCCTATCACTGGCTCTTGTGGTTTTGATGTGGAATTTGGTTGGATGCAGAGCTGCCAGGAACTGGGAGCACTGACATCACAGAAATCATTGCTAAGATTCAGGATGAATTGTTTAAACACAGGCTGGGGAAGAAGGCCAGAAACAAGAACACTTTTAAAAAAGAATACAATCTAAAAAAGAAACAAGTTCTAAAAAAAGAACTGCTGCTTGCGAGGAACCTGCTTTGACCTTTCCCACCCGTGGTTTGTGGCCAGGCACCTCAAACCAGCACTGATGGAGCAAGAACAGCTCTTCCTTGCTTCCAAGCTGTGCCAAACTTCACCAGCTTAGAGCTTTGGGAATGTGGCAAAGCTCACAGAATTCACAGAATCACAGAATGACCAGGTTGGAAGTGACCTTCCATCGAGTCCAGCCCAGCCCCAACACCTCACCTACACCCTGGCACCCAGTACCACATCCAGGTTTTGTTAAACACACCCAGGGATGGTGACTCCACCACCTCCCTGAGCAGCCATTCCAGAACTTCATCACCCTTTCTGTAGTAAAACTTTTTCCTGATATCCAACCTAAATTTCCCTTGGTGCAGCTTGAGGCTGTGTCCTCTGGTTCTGTCAGTGCTGCCTGGAGAGAGAGCCCAACCCCACCTGAGCACAGGCACCTTTCAGGGAGTTATAGAGAGTGATGAGGGCACCCCTGAGTCTCCTCTTCTCCTGAATCTGGGCTGGATTTAGATGAGCAGGAGAATAACCCCAGCAGGAAAACCCAACAAAACCTTGCACCTGAACACCTCCATGCCAACAAAGCTGGAATTGAGACGACCCAGAGGTCACTCAGAGGTGACCCAGCCGTGTGTGTGTGTGACATTCCAGGCTGGGACCTTTCCCTCTCTGCTGCTTCCTGAGGAGCTCAGCCTCACCTTTCCCATTGATTTTGATCTTCATGGGGAGCTGCCGGGCCATGCTGAACAGGTTGCGCTGCAGGGCCTGCTGCACCAGCCGCTGCTCCTCCTCCGTCATGCGCGGCACTTTCTTCTCCGGGGGCTCTCCTGCCTCCAGCCTCTCCCTCAGCTGCTCCAGCGTGGCCGTCCTGGCTGCCACCGTGGCCTGCTGGCCACCCAACGTCACCGGCACGGCCACGCGGCTCGGCATGGACACCGTCAGGGGCACGCCGTCACCTGGGCCAGGAGGGGACACTCAGCCAGGGGACACTGCCAGCGCCACAGTCCCACATTGCCAGGCCACATGGTCAGGAGGGGACACTCAGCCAGGGGACATTGCCAGGAGGGGACACTCAGCCAGGGGACACTGCCAGCGTCACAGTCCCACATTGCCAGGCCACATGGTCAGGAGGGGACACAGCCAGGGGACATTGCCAGGAGGGGACACTGCCAGCGCCACAGTCCCACATTGCCAGGCCACACGGTCAGGAGGGGACACTCAGCCAGGGGACATTGCCAGGAGGGGACACTCAGCCAGGGGACACTGCCAGTGCCACAGTCCCACATTGCCAGGCCACACAGTCAGGAGGGGACACTCAGCCAGGGGACATTGCCAGGAGGGGACACTCAGCCAGGGGACACTGCCAGTGCCACAGTCCCACATTGCCAGGCCACACAGTCAGGAGGGGACACTCAGCCAGGGGATACTGCCAGCACCACAGTCCCACATGGTCAGGAAAGGTCACTCAGCCAGGGGACACTGCCAGCGCCATAGTCCCACATTCCCAAGCCATATGGCTTGGCATGGGCACAGTCAGGAGGGGTCACTCAGCCAGGGGATATTGCCCACACCACAGTCCCGCATTCCCAGGCCATGCAGTGTGGCATGGGCACGGTCAGGAGGGGTCACTCAGCCAGAGGACATTGCCCACACCACAGTCCCACATTGCCAAGCCATGCAGCATGGCATGGGCACGGTCAGGAGGGGTCACTCAGCCAGGGGACATTGCCCACACCACAGTCCCACATTCCCAGGCCATGCAGTGTGGCATGGGCACAGTCAGGAGGGGTCACTCAGCCAGGGGATATTGCCAGGAGGGGTCACTCAGCCAGGGGACACTGCCAGGAGGGGTCACTCAGCCAGGGGACACTGCCCACACCACAGTCCCACATTCCCAGGCCATGCAGTGTAGCATGGGCACAGTCAGGAGGGGTCACTCAGCCAGGGGACATTGCCAGGAGGGGTCACTCAGCCAGGGGACACTGCCCACACCACAGTCCCACATTCCCAGGCCATATGGCTTGGCATGGGCACAGTCAGGAGGGGTCACTCAGCCAGGGGACATTGCCAGGAGGGGTCACTCCGCCAGGGAACACTGCCAGGAGGGGTCACTCAGCCAGGGGACACTGCCAGGAGGGGTCACTCAGCCAGGGGACACTGCCCACACCACAGTCCCACATTCCCACCGCCGCCATGGCCGTGCTGACCTTTCCTGAGGGCCGGTGAGACGCGGGGGTTGCCGGTGGCGCTGCCCGGCGCCACGCCGATGATGGGGAAGCGGATTTTGGGGGGGGACAGCAGGGAAGGAGGCCCCGGTGGCGATGGGGAGTAGCTGAACAGCGAGGAGCTGTAGCTGGGCCGCCGGCCCTCGCGCCGGTTGCCATCGATGGCGGCCTGGAGCTCGGCCGGGGAGCTCAGGGACTTCTTCTCACACTCGTAGGCATAGAGGTACTTCATGTACCTGGAGAGGGACACAGAGAGGGTAAATGAGATGGCACGGGGACAGGAGACTCATCCTGAGGTGCTTGGCAGGCTTGGGGTGTTTGGAAGCATGGCTTGGTATGGAAGCGCTCAGTGTTTGTAGGGAAACGTGCCATTAGATATTCCTGATCCCATAAGAGTGGGGGAATTTCTTAACAACTGGAATATCCTCAAAGGATCATCCAGATTTCCCTCACAATTGAAATATCAGCAATAAGTCACCCAGAATTCCCTCACAAATGAATTATCCTCAAAAGAATCATCCAGAATTCCCTCACAACTGAAATATTAACTATAAATCACCCAGAATTCCCTCACAACTGAAATATCATCTAGAAACCATCTAGAATTCCTTCATAATTCAAATAATATCTATAAATCATCCAGAATTCCTTCACAATTGAAATATCGTCTATAACTCACCCAGATTTCCGTCACAACTGAAATATTACCTATAAAACATCCAGAATTCCCTCACAACTAAAATATTGTCTAGAAATGATCCAGAATTCCCTCACGAATGAAATATTCTCAAAGAATCATCCAGAATTCTCTCACACATGAAATATCCTCAAAGGATCACCAGAATTCCCTCACAACAGAAATATCATCTATAAATCATCCAGAATTCCCTCACAATTGAATTATCCTCTATAAATCATCCATAATCCCCTCACAACTGAAATATCCTCTATAAATCACCCAGGAATCACTCACAGCTGAAATATCATCTATAAACCATCCAGAATTCCCTCACAACTGAAATATTATTTATAAATCACCCAGAATTCCCTCACAACTGAAATACTGAATATAAATAATCCAGAATTCCCTCACAACTGAAATATCCTCTGCAGTTCATCCAGAATTCCCTCACAACTGAAATATTATTTATAAATCACCCAGAATTGCCTCACAACTGAAATATCATCTATAAATGATCCAGAATTGCCTCACAACTGAAATGTTATTTATAAATCACCCAGAATTCCCTCACAACTGAAAAAAAGAGGCAAAAAGGCCAGGGCTGGAGCTGAGGCACCATTTTTGCCTTTTATAGGCTTTACCTTGGCCAGTCTATTCTAAATATTTACTAATAATACTACTACTAATTATTATAAATGATACATAATATACAAAAGATATTATATAGTATTAGTAACAACAATATTTACAACTAATAATTTACTATTAATAACTACTAATAGGTATTTAGTAAAAGATATATCTAACAATAATAAAAAACTATCAACACAAACACGTAATAATAACCATCTAACAACAGATAAATACCCAATAACAGCAAATATCCAACAACAAATGTTCAATTCCTGATAAATATCCAATAATCTTAATTGGATTGTTCCCGCAATATCCACTGGGATAATTGGATTATTCCAATTGGATTATTCCAATAATATCCAATTATTGATATCATATATCAATATATAAATTAAAAATCATAGTGATTATATATTAAAAATTATAAATGTATTGATATATAAATAATACATAATCTATACATTATAAATATACAATATACTAATTATATATTTATAAATATAAACATTCAAATTTATAAAATAGTAATATATTTTATATAATAAATATTTATATATTTATAAATATATATTTATAAGTTTAAATATATACATATTTATGTCTATATAAATATAGTATGCATTTATTCTATATTTATATAATAAATATAATATTTAAATGTATGTTTATAAAGTGTTTATATATCTTATATGAAATATAAATGTAATTATAAGTATATAAATATTTATCTATTTAAATATAGACATATTTATAGAAAGTATATATTTATAATATATTTATATAATAAATATGAATATTTTATTTTATATTTATAAAATGTGTAGATATTTTATATATAAATATTTTATTTTTAAATGTATACTTATTTGTATAAATATATATTATATATTTAGTATATATTTATATAATAAAATATTTAAATTTATATTTGTAAAATGTTTATATATTTTATAAAAATAGAATTATATTTATAAAAATAGGATTATATTTATAAATAAAAATATTTTTATATTTTTGTATATGCATATTTATATTTATATAAATATGAATGTTTTCTATTTTGCCTTCTAAACTCACTGTGTGCGCAGGGTGAAGGCGGCGCTGGTGATGGAGGTGGGCAGGTTAAGGCCTTTGGTGATCTCCCTCCAGATCTTCTTGTTGATGATCTCCACCAGCCCACCCTTCTCTGTCACCAGCTTGTAAAGCATGTAGAGATCCAGGATCTGCTTGGCCATGATGGGGATCCTGTTGATGGGAGTCCCTGGAAAAAGGAGCATGGACAGGATGAGGGCACCACCTCGGGGGGATCCAGCTCTGTCTGCCCTCACAGGAGCAGATCCAGGATCTGCTTGGCCATCCATGATGGGGATCCTGTGGATGGGAGTTCCTGGAGAAAGGAGCATGGACAGGATGAGGGCACCACCTTGGGGAAATCCAGGTCTCTGCCCTAACAGGAGCAGATCCAGGATCTGCTTGGCCATCCATGATGGGGATCCTGTTGATGGGAGTTCCTGGAAAAAGGAGCATGGACAGGATGAGGGCACCACCTCGGGGGGATCCAGCTCTGTCTGCCCTCACAGGAGCAGATCCAGGACCTGGCCAGGCTATGATGGGGATCCTGTGGATGGGAGTTCCTGGAGAAAGGAACATGGACAGGATGAGGGCACCACCTCGGGGAAATCCAGGTCTCTGCCCTAACAGGAGCAGATCCAGGATCTGCTGGGCCATGATGGGAATTCCTGGGAAAAGGAACATGGAAATGATGAGAGCACAGGCAGTCTGGGAGAAATCCAGCTCTCTGTGCCCTCAGAGGGGCAAATCCAGGATCTGCTTGGCCATGATGGGAGTTCCTGGAAAAAGGAGCATGGACAGGATGAGGGCACAGGCAGCTCAGGGGGATCCAGCTCTGTCTGCCCTAAGAGGAGCAGATCCAGGACCTGGCCAGGCTATGATGGGGATCCTGTTGATGGGAGTCCCTGGAAAAAGGAGCATGGACAGGATGAGGGCACCACCTCGGGGGGGATCCAGCTCAGTTTCCCCTCACAGGAGCAGATCCAGGATCTGCTTGGCCATCCATGATGGGGATCCTGTTGATGGGAGTTCCTGGAAAAAAAAGGAGCATGGACAGGATAAGGGCACCATCTTGGGGAAATCCAGCTCTCTGCCCTCACAGGAGCAGATCCAGGATCTGCTGGGCCATGATGGGAATTCCTGGAAAAAGGAGCATGGACAGGATGAGAGCACAGGCAGTCTGGGGGAAATCCAGCTCTCTGTGCCCTAAGAGGAGCAAATCCAGGATCTGCTTGGCCATGATGGGAATTCCTGGAAAAAGGAGCATGGACAGGATGAGGGCACGGGCAGCTCAGGGGGATCCAGCTCTCTCTGCCCTAACAGGAAATTCAGGGAATTTGCAGCCTGGCTCGAGGTCTTCCCATGGAAAACCCTTTCCTGTGGGTAAAGGGAATTAGCAGAGCAATAAAACCTGCAGCTCCTGGAATAGAAAAAGGGGAAACTGGGACTATTGGAATGGGTTTTATGAGCTCAGGGTTAAAATCCTTGGATAAAAGTGCTCCCTCATCCCTCAGGATGTGCTGTTTGCCTGGGAACAGCAGAACCAAGGGAATCAGCACTGGAGAACATCTCTCCCCCACAGAATTCCATCCTCCCTCACATGTTCAACATTTGGAATAAGCTGGAGATGTCACTGTCACATTTTCTGAAAAATCTCTTCACCAGGATTGCTTCTGCTGGGAAGCTGAGAAGTCTCAGGGAAGAATGAAAACAATAATTATCTGATAGCTTCTCCCTGTTTTGCTGCTTTGGAATGTGGTCTGGAGATTGTTTATCCAACAAGTGGTTGCTTGATTGGTTTCATGTGAATTGTTTTGACTTAATGACCAATCACAGCCAGCTGTGTCAGACTCTGAAGAGTCAGTCACGAGTTTTTATCATCATTCTTTGTAACCTTCTGTCTGTATCCTTTCTCTTTCTTTAGTACAGTTTTAGTACGGCATTTTTTAATATAATATCATAAAATAACGAACCAGCCTTCTGAAAACATGGAGTGAGACTCATCTCTTCACCTCATCCTGGGGACCCCTCCAAATACCACATGGAGAGGTAAAAACAAAGGCTGCTCCTTCCACAGAGCTTCCAGCCTCTCACTCCTTTTCCCACCCAAACAATTCCCTGACAAGGCCACAGCAGCTCTGAGCATCCCAAACCCAGGTCCTGCTCCATCCTTCCTGCTTGGTTCTGTGTATTTTGGGTTAATGTGGAAGAAAATCTGATTTTTAACCTCCCCCTTTGGCAGCTCCTGGAAGTGCCAACGCCCAAACTAAGGAGATTTAGGCACGGAGAGGAAGAAGGAATAATAAAAAGCTGAAGTGGCAGAGCTTTTATTTGGCCTGGGAAACTCTGTCCTGGATCAAAGGGCCGCCCAGCCCATCCTGTCCCCACAATGGGCAGCCCCAGCCTGGCAGGAAGGCTGGGAGGGGGGCAGGGGACAATTGTGGAATCCCCAGTCCCCAGGGGAGGCTGGTGCCACTGCTGGCAGCCCCTGATCCCCCCATTTATGGCCCTATAAATGAGTTTATTCCGTGCCATGAAAGGAGCCCTGCAGATGTCCTTGTCAGACTTCCAAGGGGGATTTTTTTTTTCCCTGTCTTTTCTTTGGGAATCCCATTAGGCATTAGTAGCTTGTGGTGCCAATTCCCACAGGTTAACGAGAGGCTGGATAAAACAGCCCAGTTTTGCAGCTCTAAAAGGCTGAAAACCTCACAGATTCAAAGTGTTTCAATTTATATCAATCCCAGCCTCCTTCCTTGTCTAAGGAGCAGATCTCACAACCCCTTCCCGTATTTCAGGGGCACAGATCCCTCAGGGAGCACAGAGGGAAATCCAAACCCTTCCAACTCTCTGTGGCTCCATCCCTGCCTCCCAAAAATCCTCAATTTCCTCTGTTTTTTCCTGAGCATCCATTTTGTCTCAGGGTGACAGCAGCCCTGGGAATCAGGGCATGATCAGGTTACCTCCAGCTGTCACTCATCACCTGAGTCACACCCGCAGGGAAAACAGGGAAATATTTCCTTCCAAAGCCCCCAGGACACCCCAAAATTCCCCTCCTTTCATTAATTAGCCACAGCAGCAAAGCCTTTGCTGGGCTGGGGGAGGATGAAGCCCCTCTCACCCCAGTTTTCCCAATCCAATTAAAGGAATGGCATTAATTTGTGCAGCAGGGACTTTGATCCAGATGGAGAGTGAGGAGGAAGAGCTATGAAAAAAGCTCTCAGCAACTGAGAAAATACTAACAAATATCTGCTTTGTAATACCTTGCCTTGCCTCCAAACACACTTCTACCTTTCTCCAGATCTCCCCAGCTCAGCAGCTGAGAAAATACACAAATTATTAATCCAGATACTCCTGTGAGAGGCACAAACATCACCTGCATCAATGGGAATGAGGGCTGAAGCAATTCCAGGGAGCTGGAGCAGGAAAAGTGAGGGGGTCTGACCTCCCTGAATCACCTCAGCACCCCCTGAGCACCTTCTCTCCCTCAACTGGGCTTTAAATAGGAGCAAAGTGCCCCAAATTTTCATTTATAAACCCAGCTAAATCGAGATTATAAATGTGTGTTTCCATCTAAAACTCAGCTAAACAGGGCTTTTATACAGAAACGTGCATTTATAAACTCTATTACACAGAGAATATAAATTAATCCACCAAGAAATAACCTCAAATTTGGGTTTCCCCCCCAAAATAAAATTTCTTTGTGCAGCTGAGAAACTTTGCAGCAGGGACAGAACTGTCCCAGGAGCTGCAATAATTTCAGCACTCCTAGGACAGCTTCCCTCCCTCAGCTGTGCTTTAAACAGCCCCAAAATTTTATTTATAAACCCAGCTAAATCGAGATTTAGATCAAAACACACATTTATAAATTCAGCTAAACAGGGCTTTAGGCAGAAACACTCAGCTACACACAGAATAGAAATTAATCCACTGTGATAAAACCTCGAGTTTGGTTAATGATAAAATTTCTTTGTGCAGCTGAGAAACTTTGCATCAGGGACAGAAGAGCTCCCAGGAGCTGCAATAATTTCATCACCTCAGCACCCCCAGGACAGCTTTTCTTTAAACAGGACCAAAGTGCCCCAAAATTTCATTTATAAACTCAGCTAAATCAAGATTTAGATAGAAACACACATTTATAAACTCAGCTAAATAGGGACTGATACAGAAACACTCAGTGAAAAGTGTTTACACACAATATAAACTAATTCACTGAGACAAAACTTCGAGTTTGGTTTTCCCCCCAAAATAAAATTTCTTTGTGTAGCTGAGAAACTTTACAGCAGGGAAAGAACTGTCCCAGGAGCTTGAATAATTTCAGCATCCCCTGGAAAGCTTCCCTCCCTCAGCTGTGCTTTAAACAGGACCAAAGCGCCCTGAAATTTCATTTATAAACCCAGCTAAGTTGAGATTTAGATGGAAACACACATTTATAAACTCAGCTAAACAGGGACTGATACAGAAACACTCAGTGAAAAGTGTTTACACACAGTATAAATTCATCCACTGATATAAAACCTCAAGTTTGGTTTCCCCGCCCAAAATAAAATTTCTTTGTGCAGCTGAGAAACTTTGCAGCAGGGACAGAACTGTCCCAGGAGCTGCAATAATTCCATTTTCCACTGCAATAATTTCATTTTCCACTGCAATAATTCCATTTTCCACTGCAATAATTCCATTTCCCACGCGTTCCCCCAGCACTGCCCCTCACCACCCCACAGGTCCCGGTGCATTCCCGGTGTTTTCCAGAGGGATTTGGTGCCCCCTGCTCCCCCAGGCAGGCCCGGGGAAGGTGATAAAGGCAGGGTTTATTGGAAAGCCCCAGCGCTGCCACAGGAAAGGCTGAAGGGCAGAGCCGGGCCGGGCAGGGCTGTCAGGGCTGTGATGGATTACTGTCATCTGGCAGCGCCAGGATTAATGAGCCCGGGGCCAGGGGGCAGAATTCCAGAGGGAAAGGTCAGAGCCGGGGCCACAGCACAAGACTTGTTGCCTTTTGATGGTAAACTCATTTTACTGTACTTGCAAACCTCCTGCCCCGAGCCAGAGGAAGATCCTCCTCTCTGTTTCCTCGGAAAATAACAACTTCTGCCTCTCAGCACAACCCCAGCTCCACAACTCGGCCCATCCCAGCCCCATCACTTGGCTTCCCAACTCCATATCTTGGCCCATCCCAGCTCCATCACTTGGCTTCCC